CAAGGGACATAGGAGGTTAAGGGACTAGTAGGCGGCATTTGACAAGTGGGGGAGGGAGGATGCCAGGAATGGGGAAAGGGAAAGGAAGCGTTAGCTAAGCAAAAAGCGTTAGCTTTTGGCCCTGTCATAAGATAAACTACAACACCTGAGCTATTGGTAAGAAGGAGTGCTGGGCCCCTTCCCCTCTTACCTGCATCTGGTGGCAGGTAGAAGACGAAGATGGCCAGAAGAGTGATGAGGATGCATGGGGCAATGACGTCGACCAGGTAAAAGAGAGGCTTCCGGCGAATGATGAGGTAGAAGGTGACTTCTTCACGCCGTCTTTCCCCCCCTCCCCTAGGATCCACTGGAGGCTGGATTAGCTGAGAAGGCTTGTGAATAATCTCCCATTGATCATTCTCTTGCGGGGAGTGGGGGGAGAAGAGAAGGTGACACAGATGTGGAACCTGTCTTTGTTGGTGCCAGACACGGCTTTCTTTTCTTTTCTTTCTTTTTTTTTTTTCTTTGCCTCACTGCGCCACCGCGCTGCTTGTGGGATCTTAGTTCCCCAACGAGAGATTGAACCCGGGCCCTCAGCAGTGAAAGTGTGGAGTCCTAACCACTGGACCGCCAGGGAATTCCCAGATATGGCTTTCTCTGCCACATCCTAGAGCAGGGGGTACTGGTGTAATAAGGGGCTAGCTATGGTCCCTGGGCTGGACAGCCCATCTCTAATAAATTTGAGCAAGTCTCAATTTCCATAACCACAATATATAGACAGTTATACCTATCTTGCTGAACCCACAGGGACTCACTGAGGGAGTATATTTATCAGCCTGTTAGAAACTGGAAATCGTAAAGCCCATGGACATGGGAGCCATGCCCACTCACCAATAAAGGTGCCTTCACGAATGTGCACTTCCTGCCGCTCCTGCCCATCGGGACCCAAGCCGGTCTGCAGACTGACTTCTGAGCTGTCATAGCTATAGGAACTGAACACCATGGTGCAGTTCTGCCAGTCAAAGGGGAAGTAGGTGACCTGGATGGAGTGGAGAGTCACTAGAGCTGCCAGAGAGCTGGTCAGGGCTTGGGGAGCTGGGGAGGTCACAGGGCAGACAGGGGTCAGAGGATATGGGGCACTAGGGAGATAGGGACCACCAGGGGGAGATCACAGAGAAGTGGAGTCACAGAGGAATAAGAAGGTTATGCGGGGAGGTCATGGACAGTGGAGGGGGGCGGTCACTGAGGAAGACTGGAAGTCAATGAAAGTGGACAGAGAAGATGAAACTCAACGGAAAATCAGAAGGGTAAGAGAGACGTGAGGGTCATGGGGATAATGGAGGAGGGATATCTGAGTGAGGGTTTCTAGGAGCGCCTTGAGCTTCCCAGGTGGGGCCCGGGAACCTGGATGCTGCAGCTGCTGCGATAGATGCCCGGGGCCTGCCAGGGCACGGAACCGTCGGAGGACACCATGACGCTGATGTCCAGAGCAACATCAAAATTTCCGTCGTTGCTGCCGGGAAAGAATCTTCTCATCTGGGATCAGGCCCCTCCCTCCGGAGGCCGCGCCCCTCCAGAGGCCCTGCCCCACCTCCCAGACTCTGGGAACATCCTTACTTGTTTAGGAGCACCACGTCTGGTAGCCACACGGATTCGGCAGTGATGCGGAGTGAATCGATGCCCTCGTGCTCCTCAGGGTCCCAGCTCAGCCTGTAGTCAGTCCACTCCTAGGCAAGCAGAGGCTGAGGAGCCGTCTGGGGCTGGAGGCTGCAAGGAGTCTTGGGATGTGCGAAGGAAGCCCGGGCAGGGAATGCAAGGGAGAGCCGCGCAGGCACGGTCTGCGGTTCTGGGGGCCGGGGCTCTGTTTAAGACTCCACCTGCACTCTTTGGGACCCTATCAGTCGCTCGGGGAGGGATCAAGTCCCAGGGGCGGGGCGGGTAGGCTGGAGGCTGCCCCCCAATAACAGGTGCACATTCCTGGGCGCCTCGTCACTTCTCTCTCACCGGGCCCCAATTTCTTCTTTCTGTAAAAACGAGGGGGCTGCACGCTAGCCTCTAAAACAGTGGTTTTCAAACTGCAGTGTTAACGACCCTTTTCATAGGTCCGGAATCAAATGAGTGGCCCCAAACCAGTGTTAAAAAAAATTTAGAATGAAAAATGCATGGAATGCAGCTCCCATTGTTTCCTGAAGCTTCTGTTTCAGTTATAAATGTGTTTTCTGAGGTTGTGATGCAAAAAAAAAAATCTTACTGGGCGGAACATTCGAGGAAATTGTAAAGGCAGCTGGACGCCCGCCCTTTTCCACCCTGCGGGGGTCTCCGTACCAGGTCTAAGTAGACCTTTGTGCTCATCTCCTCATCCTTCTCGTTCTAGAAGGGAAAAGTTTAAAGGGTCGATATGATGTCAGTGTAGAGAAATGAGGGGCTCGGTGGGTAAATTCTCCCTGGAAACTCCCCTCTTTTTCTGAGTCGCACCCTCTTGGGTTCAAGCCCCACCTCCTATAAACTGCGTGGGCTTAAGCTCCGCCTCTATCTCGTAAACTTCCTGCTGGCCGTACAGCCAGCCAGTTCATTTACCAGTCCCGGCCCCGGCCGGAGTGAATCTCTGCCCGCTGTTGTTTATTGACCCTGTCTGGCACCGAGGTCCGCCCCAGCCTGTGACCCAGCCTCAGGGTCGGCTCTCCGGCCTGTCCATCGGCCCCAGCTCCACTTTGAGATCCACCAGCAGGCCCGTTCATCATCCTGCCCGGCTCAATCCTGGCCCGTCCAGCAGCCACGCCCACAGCTTGTCCATTGGTCCGATTTCGACCCAATCTCTACTAACGGCCCGTCAGTCACCCAGCCGGGCCTCGTCCCGGACCCCGCCCCCAGTGGTCCCTGGGTTCCGCCCTGCCTAAAACCACGCCCCCCAGCCGGCTAGTGGGCCAGGCCTCAACTCCCCGCGTGCGCCCTCACCAGGCTGATTAATTTCGCTAGGCTGAGACCAATGCTAACCCCGACGCGGTCTCCCACCTCCCGCGCCGGCCTCACCGAGCTATCATAGCCCGAGAAAAGTTTCTCGCGGAGTCGGCCCTCCGCCTCCGAGCCGCGGGCGCCTGGAGGAGGAGAGAACTGAGTGAACCCCTGGTGCCCGACCACGACCTCTGGCCCTGTCACTGCCCTTTTGAGGCCCAGACTTACCTGGGGTGAACGGCGCCCCCAACGCCCCCTCCGCCTCCGAGCCGCGGGCGCCTGGAGGAGGAGAGAACTGAGTGAAGCCCTGGTGCCCGGCCACGACCTCTGGCCCTGTCACTGCCCCTTTGAGGCCCAGACTTACCTGGGGCGAACGGCGATCCCAACGCCCCCAGCAGCAGCAGCAGCAGCAGCAGCAGCGCCCCTGGGGTCATAGCGCGCCCGCGTCGCTCAGTGAGTCCGCTTGGGTGAGCCGCCAGGACAGCCAGCGCAGGGGAAGTGACGAGGCGCCCAGGAATGTGCACCTGTTATTGGGGGGCAGCCGCCAGCCTACCCGCCCCGCCCCTGGGACTTGATCCCTCCCAGAGCGACTGCCAAAGCCTGCTACTCACAGATGGCAGACAGCACTTCAATTGTATAAATCGTCTTTAATTGAGAAAGCATGGAGTGGAGACTGGTCCCCTGGGAGCAGAGCCTTTTTGGGTACCTAACACCCAGCTGCGGTAATGCAAGTTCTATTCAGTTAGAAGCTGGAGGGGTGTATGAGGTCTAGAGACCAAGAGGCCCTCACCCTCCTTGGCCTGACCTGTAGGGGAGAAGGGTGGGACTTATTGCTGAATTGGTGTCTCCTCATTTGAGGGGGTTCAAAGCTATGTGCCATTTCTCTTTTTTATTCTAGACCCATTACCCTAAAGACCTCAGC